AGATAGATAGATAGATAGATAGATAGATAGATAGATAGATAGATAGATAGATAGATAGATAGATAGATAGATAGATAGATAGATAGATAGATGCCCTTGGGGAAATTTAAGAATTCTCTGCTTTTCACCCATCGCACATGTTGAGCAGTAGGTAGACATTTTTGATGTTGGATACTGCTAGGTTAGCTCTAGCCTGGCCCTTGCCTTCCTACGCAGTTCCGCTCACTTCTAGTTTCCCTTCACTGCTCTGTCTGGGATTTCTCCAATAGAGATAGATTTCACTGGCAGATTTTTAGCCGGGCCAATCAGAGAACAGAACGTCAATTTTCTGCACAGTGTCTGCTTGTAGTTTATTTTACCTGGGCCAATCAGCAAACAGAAGGCGGAGTTTTGAACGACGTCGACTTTCTGTGCAGTGTCTGCTAGTTATTTTAGCATACGGCAGTGGAGGAAGTGAATGAAGCCAGTCCGTGTTAAGGCTTCCAAATTAAATATGTCTGACAAAGCAGCAGCTCTCATTTACAGCCGTCTCGTTCGGCTCGGTACTTTTCTCCTCTCAGTAGGGTTGTTTACAGCACACGCGATTTCCGGTTAGCGTCTTAGCTTAGCCTCCTTCCCAGCAACAACACACACACACGCTTCAGCAGAGGCCACGCCTCCTGCAAGAATCACTTCTCTATGCAGCGAGTCCAGACCCTCGTACGAAGCAAAGTGAAGAACAAGGGTCTGGTTTTTACCAGGCTAGGTTAGCTCATCAGTCCAGTCAGAATCAAACTCGTTATTTCTCCAAACTGAAGTTGTTCAAAGAGTCATCTACAACAGGTAAGATAGTATTTATTCATAACTTTCCACAAAATGTCATTAAAAAAGATGTAAACAAACACTTTAACATTCAGATCATATATCCATGTTTCTACCTATCACGCTGACCACTTTTTTATTTGTTATTATCATGCAGATAATTCGAATTCACCTGTTTTGCTGCTGTGATCACCACGTCCTAAGTCCCGTCTCCTGTTCCGGTTTGTGGTTCTTCGGTTGCCCAGCAGATCATTCTGCTTGTTTTCATCCAGGAAATCTTCAACCACCTGTTTTATGATATAATATATATACTGTTTTTATTTTTGTTGCAAAAAGGCAGTATAAATGCCTAATGCTGAAAATGTTTTTGCTGAATAGCTAAAAGAGCTGAAACTAGCCTAAAAATAGGTTTTTAAGTTGATGAAATTAGCACAAAGAAAAAAGAAAAAGCACGTGTTTGCTGAATTAAGTGGTAAGAAGCTGAAATGATCACAAAAAGGAAAAATTAAATGAAAAAAGTTCAAATTACCTAAAAGTAGCTAAAGCAGAAAACAGTGGAAATTAACAGTAAGCAGCTGGAAGAAGCATAAAAACTTAAAATAGCAGAATCACAAAGTAGAAATGAGAAAAAAACAGAAAAGGTCAGAATGATAGATAAAATCGTTAAAATCAGCCAAACAGAAGCTGAAATTAGTATGTAGTTAAAAAAAGCAAAACCAAAGGTAAAAAGAACACTAAAATTTATAAACATTTAAAAGGGTTTTAAGGATGCTGAAGACTGCTCCATTCCTTTTTAATGGGAAAAACGTCAAAAAAAAAGCTAAATATCTCAAACTGTGTAAATTGCTGAAGTACCAAAAGACATMGCCAAAATGTCCTGAAGGAGCTGAATGTTTGGATATTTAAATTGTTGATTGTTGAAATGCTTTCTAAGCATTCACACAATAAGTATAAATACTTCTCCCACAGACCTGTTTTCTCTGTGATGCTGTCATTTCCCATCGCTCCTCTGAGGGCTGGGGTCCTTCCTGCAGGTTAATCTGCCCTTCACCTGCACCAATACAGTAAAACATATTTTATAAAATCCTAAGTCCTTTATAAAAAGAGCTGCTTTTCAAAGCTGGATTGATGTTAATGCGATAAAGTTAATTTGTCTTTCTGTAACAGATAGTGTAAGGAACAGAATTACAGCTTCCTTTCCCTCACTCCTAAAGCTTGTCACTACCCTGCAGCTGACCTGGGCCCTGCGCTGTCTGTCTTGGCACCAGCTGCTTCACATTGTGTTTACCTGGCGCAGAGAAAACAAGCTAAATTGGAAGGTACGAGTAGCAGACACTCCAAAAACCTGTCACCTTTAAAAAAAAAAAAATAAAAAAAATCCTCACTTTGAAAAAAGAAAAACATCTAAATGTGTTTTATGTCGACACGATGTGAGGACCAAAAAGGAAAAGAAAAGAAGTCGTTCAGCCTGGCTCACCTGTGAAAGCCGCCTCAAACGGCAGTGAGGCGTTTTTGGGGATGAAAGCTGCAGGTTTCCTCCTCTGAGACACAAACACATGCAGCAATAAACAATCCAAGCAGAAAGCACTGTGATTAGGCTTTCAGATCAATGATGTAAAACACATGATGTGATGACTACTTACAGAGTAATAATGGTTTGGTTGATAATCCAAAACGTCTGCAGGAGAGGACAGAAAATTAAATGCAAATAACAGGAATTAGAGAGAAAACTGTTAATGTGTGTATTCTCCTTGAACACAGTCGTTCTTCTATTGAAAAGTTTGATTTGATGCCATTGGAGATACAGACGTTGAATCATAAAGCATTATTCAATCGTTTTATATCAAACTGTCAGATTCATTTGCTCTCTCTCTCTCTACAGTCTTTCAGTACCTCCATTTTGAATTTGCTTGTTTTGTTTTTCAGCGTTTGCAGAAGCAGGACTTCTAGATAATGGATGAACAGATTCCTTGTTCGCAGCTTCGAAGGCGTCTATTCTGAGTTGTCTTCTGTCCATGGGCAAAACAAAACAAAAGGAAAAGCTCACAGAAACTTAATCACCCTGAATATATTACAAAGGTGTCTTCAAGATGCTTAAAGTACTGCGTTAGTAAACTGAAATTAGAAATAATACTGTGTATATTATGTGCAAAGAATCCTAACACGATGTCTGATATACCCGGCCAGGTCCAGCTGCTCCAACTGTCTCTGCTCATTCTTCAGAAAATTACGGAGAGCTGACAGCTCTTTGATCACTTCCTGCTGACCCTCTGACCCTGCATCAAGAGTGATACATAAAAGTGTTAAAAGCTTGGGGTGCCAAGTGTAAAATGAAATGTTAAAAAATTATATTACATAACATATTTTCATTATTAAGCTCAATTTTTGACTATTAAATTTTTCCACTAACATTTTATTGTTATTTAGTTCACTGTTCTTACATTTAACTAACTTGCATTAAATAAATGTAAAATTTAAACCTTAAATGTTAAAGTTCACACTTAGGTATTTTGGGATGGAACTCAGCCTTTGCTGTTGGTTCCCAGCTCATGTTATGACATCATCATCCTGCGACAATAGCGACCGCTAGTGTTTCAAGCCAGTTCGGTTGATGGTTTATCAAAGTCTGCCATCTTTGATTTGCTGAAACGTTTCTCACAGTGCAATGAATTCTGGGATATTGTCGGCCACGTATGCTACTCAGATTCAGCCAATGTTTTCGAAGTTTTGTCGGCCGCATTTGTAGGCGCCGACAAATTGGGATAGCCTACGTCGCAGGGTAGTGACGTAAGTGGCCGACGAATGAACCCATGAATTGAGACAAAGCCAGTGCTTCCCTACGAACATCAAACTTGCAGTTATGGCTGGTGTTTGAGCTGCACTTCAAACTGCTGGACCGCAGATAACACCCATATTGTTTTTTATGAACACATTACAAATTTAGATTGTAATATTATTTTCAGCAGCGTTAGCGGTGGCTAACAGTGGCAATATATCAACCATTATTGATGTTTGTTGCAGGATGATGACATCATCCTGATTATCTGATGCTAACTTCTGCTAACGCTTCTAACGCTGCTGAAGATAATATTTAAAATCTAAATTCAAAATGTGATCATAAAAAACAATATGGGTGGTACCTGTGGTCCAGCAGTTTGAAGTGGAGCTCTAACACGACTGCATCTGTAAGTTTGTTGTAATGATATATGATTTGGTATGATATGATGTGATATGATATATGATATGATATATGATGCCTTTATTGTCATTGTACAGAGCACATTGAAATTACATTTAAAAACACCAAGAAGACACACATGACAAAAACATGGGGGAACAGGTCATGCAGCAACCAGCAGGGGTCGCTACCTTTAACAGCAGGAAATACACAAGAGGAAAGTTGAGTTAAAAAATTGCTCTGATCCTRTGTTTACATCAGAAACATAAGATCATATGCACAAAAAAACGACTCTTGTAGGGACGCTTTAGCTTCATTGCTAGCGGTTGCTATTGTCTCAGGATGATGACATCATAACATGAGCTGAGAGCCAACCAATGAGGTGTAAATACCTCAYTGGAGCCAACAGTCAAGGCTGCGTTCCATTTCAAAATCCCTAAATGTGAACTTCAACATTTAAGGTTTAACTTTTACATTTAGATTTAAACATTTAGATTTAGGT